CTCTCACTGTCCACTCTGCCTGTCAAAAAAAAAAAAAGTCACTAATAAAGTAAGCAAATCAACAAATAAATAAATCATCCTGGGAGGAGAAAAAAAAACTTTATTTCCAGAGTTGCCAAGTCATATTATTTAAAATGTACAGTTTTCAACTAAAATATGAAACAAGCAAAAAAAAAAAAAAACCAAAAAAATTCAGATTTTAAAAAAAGCAGCCAACTGAAACTAACAGACCAAATGTTAGACTTACTGGACAAAGACTTAAAGTTAGCTATTTAAAATATAATCAAAGACTGGGGCCGGCACTGTGGCGCAGTAGGTTAATCCCCCTCCTGCGGCACCAGCATCCCATATGGGTGCCAGTTCTAGTCCTGGCTGCTCCTATTCCAATCCAGCTCTATGCTATGGCCTGGGAAAGCAAGATGGGGCCAAGTGCTTGGGCCTCTGCACCTGCATGGGAGACCTGGAAGAAGCACCTGGCTCCTGGCTTTGGTTCCACACAGCTCCGGCCATTGTGGCCATCTGGGGAATGAACCAGTGGAAGGAAGACCTTTGTCTCTGTCTCTACCTCTCACTGTCTGTAACTCTACCTCTCAAATAAATAAATAAAAATCTTTAAAAATAAATAAATATAATCAAAGACAACCATGTCTAAAGCTTGAGATGTTCTCTCTCCAAATAGAGTATAAACAATGAGATTGAAACATAAAAGGAAACAAGAAGTTAATTCTGGATTAAAAACTACAATAACTGAAATGAAAAACTAGAAAATATCAACAGTTTGAACAAGGAAAAGAATCAGTAAACTTGAAGATAGGTCCATTTGGGATTAAATAGTTGAAGAAACAGACAAAACAAAAGAATAGAAATACATGAACAGAGTCTCAGAGAACTGAGGGAAATCATCAGGCTACCAGAGTATGTACCAAGAGAGTTACAGGAAGAGTGAAAGCATAAGGAAAAAAGAGAGAGAGAGAGAGAGAGAGAGAGAGAGAGAGAGAGAGAGAGAGAAAGGAAGGAAGGGAAAGGAAAGGAAAGGAAAGGAAAGGAAAGGAAAGGAAAGGAAAGGAAAGGAAAGGAAAGGAAAGGAAAGAGGAAAAAGGAAAAAGGAAAAAGGAAAAAGGAAAAAGGAAAAAGGAAAGGAAAGGAAAGGAAAGGAAAGGAAGGCAGGCAAAAACATTCCAAATTGATGAAAATCCTTTATCTATGCATCCAAGAAACTCAATGAACTCCAATTAGGATAAACCTAAACAGACCCACACCCTGACATCTTTAATTTAAAAAAAAAAAAAAAGAGCCAATCTTCAAAACAGCAAGAGAAAAGCAACTCTCAATCAAGTGATCCTCAATCAACAGCATATTTCTAATCAGAATCTGTAAAGAGAGAAAATGTGAGTGGATCTAAAAGAGGTGAAGTGATTAAATGAGTATTCAAAAAACTTACCACAAAGGAAAGTACATGGATTAACTGATGAATTTTCGCAAAGTAGAATTAACAACAAACTTCACAGATGTCTAAAAAACTGAAAAGGAGAGAACACATCCTAACATGTTCTATGAAGCCAATATCACCCTAAAACCATATCACACAAAAACATCACAAAGAAACTGCATATCACTTTTCCTTATGAATGCAGACAAAAAAAAAACTAAAAATACTAGCAAATGAATGCAGCAGCATAAAAAAGGGAGTTATACATCATAGTTAACTAGGATTTATCACAAGAGCGAAAGGTTAGTTCAAAATTAAAGAATATAATGCATCACATTAATAGAATATGAGAGAGTAACCACATGAAACCTCCTCAGGTATAAAAAAAGCATTTGGCAAAATCCAACACCTTTCGCAATAACAGCAGTTAACAAACTCAGAATAGAAGAGGGGCCGGCGCTGTGGCTTAGCAGGTAAAGCTGCCACCTGCAGTGCCAGCATCCTATATGGGCTGGGACTCTGGTTTAAGACCTGGCTGCTCTACTTCTGATCCAGCTTTCTACTATGGCCTGGGAAAGCAGAAGATGGTTCAAACCCTTGGGCCCCTCCACCTACATGGGAGACCCAGAAGCAGCTCCTGGCTCCTGGCTTCAGATCGGCACAGCTCCAACCACTGCAGCCACTTGGGAAGTTAACCAGCAGATGGAAGATCTCTTTCCCTTCCCCCCGACCTCGGTCTCTGCCTCTCTGTAACTCTTTCAAATAAATAAATCTTAAAAAAAAAAAAAAAAAAAAAGAGAATTTACTCAAGGTCATAAAAGGTATCTATAAAAAACATACATCTAACATCATACTTAATGATGAAAACTGAAATCTTTCCTTTCCCCTCATATCAGAAGGAAGACAAGCATATCCTGTTATCAATACTGAACCAAAGGTTAAGATGAAGAAACTCACAAGCAAAAAAAAAAAAAGAAAAAAAAGCAGCAATACTGGAAAGGAATAAATCAAATTTTATTGCAAATGAGATATTCTAAAATACACAGAAAACAGAAAATCCTAAGGAATTCCCTTCCCAATGAAATACAGGTCATAAAAGAATTAAAGAAGGTGGTAATATATACTGATATGAAAATATCAAGTGTACTCCTATACACTGGTAATGAGCAAAATAGAAAGCTAAATAAATTAAATCCTCCCATTTACAATACCATCAAAACACTAAAATAGGAATGAACTTCACAAAAGAAATCTAATACTTACAAAAAAAAAAAAAAAAAAAACACTGAGGTAAAATGAGTAAGACCTGAATAAACAGAAAGATATTCAATGCTCCAAAAGTTAGAATATTTAATACTGTTAAGTTGCCAAATATCACTCAATGTGATTCCTATTAAAACCCCAACAGGCTTTTTGAATAATTTAACAAGTTGATTCTAAAAAATTAATACAGAATTTCTGGGGCCAAGAATAGCCAAAACAATCATGAAAAGAACAAATCAAAGGACTCACAATTAATGATTCAAAACTTACAATAAAGCAACAACAACCAGAAAAATAATCAGCAAAATATATAAGAACAAATATAAGAACAAACATATACAACAACAGAATTTAAAGTCTACAAATTCAGGCATCTTTTAAAAAAAAAAATTTACTTGAGAGGCATAAAGACAGAGAGAAGAAGAGAAAAAGAGGTCTTCCATCCACTGGTTCACTCCACCAAATGGCTGCAATAGCCAGGGCTGAGCCAGGCTGAAGCCAGGAGACAGTAGCCTCTTCCAGGTCTCCCACGTGGGTGCAGGTGCACAAGCACTTAGGCCATTTACTGCTTTCTCAGGCCATCAGCAAGGAGCTGGATCAGAAGTGGAGCAGCCGAGACTCCAACCGGTGCCCATATGGGATGCAGGTGCCACAGGCGGATGCTTAACCTACTATACCATGGCAGTGGCCCCAACTCATGTATCTTACAAACCACACTGAATCAATTATGAATGGATTAAACACCTGATGTAAGAGTTAGACCATGAGACTCTAATAAGGAAACATAGGCATCAAATTTTAGAACCACTGACACTGATTTGGCAATAGTTTCCTGGTGTAACACCTGAGTCACCACACCAAAGAAAAAAAAAGAAATTACATTCTATCAAATTTTAAAATGTGTGCTTATATTATGACATGTTAAGTGGCATATTAAAAGTGAAAACACAATCCACATAATGGGAGAAAACATTTGAAATTCATAGCCTTCATGGGCACCCCATGCCTAGAATACTAAAAGATCTATATAACTGAATAATAAAAAGACAAACAACACTATTTTACAAAGGGCAAAGAATCTGAGTAAGGATTTCTACAAAAATGATACTTATGGGGCCAGCACTGTGGCACAGCAGGCAAGGCCGCTGCCTGCAATGCCAGCATCCCATATGGGCGCTGGTTCTAGTCCAGGCTGCTCCACTTCCAATCCAACTCTCTGCTATGGCCTGGGAAAGCAGTAGAAGATGGCCCATGACCTTGGGCACCTGAACCCACGTGGGAGACCTGGAAGAAGCTCCTGGCTCCTGGCTTCGGATAGGTGCAGCTCCAGCCATTGCAGCTATCTGGGGAGTGAACCAGCAGATAGAAGACCTCTCCTTTCTCTCTCTGCCTCTCCTTCTCTCTAACTCTTTCAAATAAAATAGTCTTTAGGGAAACACAAATAAAAACCACAATGAGATACCACTTAACACATACTAGGATGACAATAATAATAATATTATATTTAATAATGCAAAATAATAAGTGTTAGTATTCTGAGAATTTGAACCTTCAAACACTGCTGGTGTGAAAGTAAAACAGTCCAGGCTCTTTTTTAAAATTAGCTGGGCAGTTCCTCAAAATGTTAAACACAGAATTACCACCTACATTCCAGAAATTCTACTGCTAGGCATATGCCCAAGAGACCTGAAAGCCTATGTTCACACACAACAAAATAGTCTTCAGCCACAGAAAGGAATGGAGCACTGATATATTCTCTAACACAAAAGAATCTCAGAAACATTATACCAAGCGAAAAAAGCCAGACCCAAAGGCACACGGGGTGCGATTTCACTTATGTGAAATGTACAGAATAGGGAATTATACAGAGACAACACAACACATGGTTTCCAGTGGTTAGGGAGTGGCTATTTAATGGGAGGTGTGAAATCAGTGTGGACAGTCGCACAAACTTATCGATATACTAAGAACAACTGAATTATATACCTTAAAGTGGAGATTTTATGACAAGTGAGTTTTTCTCAAGTTTTAGATACTCAAAACCAAAGTTGTAGCTGCAATACTTCATAAGATTACTACAAAATCCTACAAAGTCAAAAGCTTCATATCAAGCAAAAACTGTACATGAAACTATAATTTTTAGAAATCTTCATAATTTAAGCATACTGATTTAGATCTAGATCAAAACAATGTTATGAAAACCATAATAATCCATGTCTACAGAAAAAAATACCTTAGAAGACTAAGGTAACTGGGGAATATTAGCAAAAGACATTCTTAAAATTACTGAAAATCTACTTATGAGTACCTGGAAAATTTGGTGATCCCACTATTTTCACCGCATCTTGGGACAAGCGAAAACCTCTTGGTACTCGAACCAAATATCCAACTATTAGAAACAAAAGAAAAATTAGTCAACCATTTGCCTCACTATAAATCCCAAAATATTCAAATAGCTTAGTATCATTGTATGTTTGGCGTTGGTTGAGATCCATAAAACAACCTCCTCAGCGATCAAGAGCTCTCTCTCTCTCCTAACTCTACTCCCTTTCACAGGCTTCAGTGAAATTAATCTACCCACTGTGTCCATGATAGCTCACCTTTGGCTTTTTGTACATCCACTTAGAATATTCTCCTCATGTTTTAAAAGTCCCAGTCTCCCAGCCATCCTAGCCCAAGTCACAAATCCTTTCTCTTTCAAAGCTCCTGTTTGTCCTGATTTTCACTGTCACAACACATCACTGGCCCCTCTCTTGCGGCATTCACTCCACATTTTATTGTGGTACTTTACACATCACTATCAGTTTCTTCATCAGATTGTAAGCTCCACTAACAGTGGCTTCAGTGTCTACATCCATTTATTGAGAATGAGTACTAAGCATAACACCTTTAACCATAGTAAAATATTAATAATCGTGGGTGTATTCTCACAGTCTTCAGCCATTGTTGGATGAGTGAGGTAATGGACACAACAGTGTGAACAGGACAAGAGGCAAGGGTGATATAAAAATGCAATAATACTAATGGACCGTACCCAAATAACCTTTAACAGCAAGGGAGTACAGTGCAACGGAAATACACATCCTCACTTTAAACCCTAATTCTGACACTTCATGGTTTTAGAAGTCACTTTAGCCTCCAGGCGCTTTTGTTTACTCATTTGCAAAATGAGACCGGTTATTCCAGCCTTTCAGAGTTACTTCAGAAACAATGGACTACTGGATAAACTGGAAAATGCTACATAACTATCAGTTTTTTATTCATGGCTTATGTATTAAGATACTGACAGCTCCTTCCATCTCTTGTACTCTCCTCTGTGCACTCTTGCTATTGAATCAAAAGAAAGGCAAAATTTTAAATTGAAAACCAACCTTTTCTACCCAGTACAATACCATGAACCCTAGCACGGGATTCAGTGCCCTGGTTAAGCTCTTGCTTCGGAGGCCCTCATCCGTATCAGAGTCCCTGGGCTGGAGTCCCGAGTCTGCTTCTGATCCAATTCCCCACTGATGTGCACCCAGGGAGGCAGCAGGCAATGGCTCAAACACCTGAGTCCTTGCCACCCCTGTGGGAGACGTGGATGGGGTCCCAGCTCCTGGTTTCTGCTTGGCCCAGCCCTGGCTGTTAGGGGCATTTAAGAAGGGAACCAGTGGATGGACACTCTATCCCCCCACCCCTTTCTCCGCCCTTCCCTCTCTCCCCTTTTTTAAAGACAGTGAAATAATTTATTTAAAAGACTATAACCAACAAACATCCTTTTCCGAAAAACTAGTCTCTATGAACTTTTCTTCATTCTCCCTCATTCGGACAAGTTTTAGCATTTGAAACAAATCCGCTTTGTGCTTTTTATTTCTCAATTTCGGGAGAGAGACTTTTCTTAAAAGCGTAGATAGAACAGGAACACAACGTCATGGAGGCACACAACCTGTCAAGCGTTAAAGAAAGCTCTGTAAACCCGTCCCTTCTTCCTTCGGGGTTCCTTCACTCCTAAAAATGTATTTGGCAAAAAGGAGGGAAAAGCAGGTGCCTTCCTCAGAGTCCGCGACAGCGAGCGCCAACAGAGGGCGCTGCAGCACCACCGCGGGGCTCGCCGGCCCGCGCCGCCCCGCGCCGCCCCGCACCGCCCCGAGGGCCGCGGGCCCGAGCGCGGCTCCGTCCCGCCGCGCTGTGCGCAAAACTCCGACCGCGGGGCGCGGCGGCCGCCACTCGCTCCCGGAGGCACAGCTGTCTGGCGCCTTCCGCAGCGCACACACGGCTCTCGTCAGCCGCGGGCCCGGCGGGCGTCTCCTCACACGCCCGGGGCACGTGACGCGGGAACCGCGGCCGGCGGCGCCGCCCCTCACCTGCCGGGGGCGCCCGCACAAGGAAGGCGGCGAGAAGGAGGAGGACGGCGCCGCGGGAGAGCGGGGAGCCCGCCGCCCGGGCCCGCCGCCAGCCCCGCCGCGCCCGGCCGGCGGCCGAGGCCTCCATACGCACGCCGTCGCCGCCCGCTATCGTCCGCGCAGACGGTCGTTACGCGGCGCGCGCCCACCCGCCGCCGGAAGTCGGCGGGCGGCGGACCGGAAGGACGGACCGGACGGACGCGCAGCCACTTCCGCCCGGGCTGTTGCCAGGGGTCGGCGCGGGTGGGCAGCCCGGGGTCCCGGCGTGGGGCCGTGGGGCAGCCGGGGCCGTCGCGACCCGACCGCCGGGCACCGCCAGCCGGGGGATCCTGGAGAACTTGAGCGACGGGGAGGTTCCGGAGCTGGAGAGGAACCTCGAACCCCCAAGTCCGTGCCTTCACCTCAGAGTGGAGCTGTGGCTCCGGGCGAGGGTGTAGACGGGTCAGCCCCTGCGAGTGAGGACCCGTGGGTGGGCGCAGGTCTGGCCCGTGCAGGAGCTCCTGGGTCTTGGAACTCACACTCTCCCGATGTGCGGGAGTTAATCGGGGTGCAAAGCAGTGCGCACCCAGTGGAAGGGAAGAGGGAGGCCTTTAGCCCGCGCAGGAAGAAATGACCGCGGACGAAACTTCTCACCCACATGCGTAAAACCTACAGAACCACCCGTCAGCCGAAGGGGCCGTTTCACTCAGATCTTAGAAAACTTGAAGAAGAATCATGCCTCTGCTTTTCCTTCGCTGAAAGGAGTTTCTTACTGTTAAGGGAGCAGGAGAAGGAGATTTTATGCAGTCGACGCAAATACATTGAGTGAAGTTTGAGCACCGAAACACAGAATGCCTGATAAGGGTGTTGTCACCTTTGAAAATGAAGCCGCAAGTGATCCTGGGTGGAGTCAGTGCTGTCACTGGGTATCCTGCACTCCGACAGCCTCGCCACCTACTTCACCTCGTGTCTCGTTCAGTAGTAAATCTCAAAGCTTTACGGATTTGGGGCGGCTCATAGGCATTCCGTTACCCCCCAGTACCACAACCCCCTGCTCTCTGCAGTTGGCCGACTGTAGAGAATATACTTCCATCTTTTGAGCTAGAATCTTGCCTGGTTTGCATTTTTCCTGCAGTAAGGATGGCATGTGCTTCTATCCCCAGTTCTAGTGTTGGAATTTCTTTAGTAGCAATTTTTATGCAGGACCAAATTAGAATAGAGCTTTTTAGAGAACTTGTGTATTAATGATTTAAACGAAATGTGTGCTGCATGTTAATAAGTAACCCATGATGATTGAATGAGACATTCTGCAAGGGGTGAATAATCAATACTCTTGTTTTCTGAAGTGAGCTTAAAATCCTAGTTGCTCTTACTTCATACATCATGGTAGCATGCAGGGAAGTAAGGATAATTTAGGGCATGAAAAGAATGAACCTGCACTTCTTAACTTGTGACTATTTGTCCTTAAAAATTAGATGCAGTATGTTTATTTTCTGCAGTCCATTGACGTTTACTGTTATTTAGACAGTAATTTTTTCTGTCAAGCAAATACTTTACTGTAGGCACATGTGTGTATATATATATACTTTTAATATGTATGATTATTGTCACTGGGTTGGCTGCTTTATATTCCTTTTATCATTTTATCCATTGAAATACCAAGTTATGGAAAGTTAAGATAAATGAACACAGATCTCTTAACCATTGGGGATAAAAGCATCATGAAAGTACTCATAAGGCTATTTTGGTTTTACTTAAGAATTACATTATGACTTACATAGTAAATGGCTCAATGTATTAGAATTCCAGTTGTTGCCAAGCAACAAGACTTGGCTTATTTTTTCTTCTCTTCCTTTATTGCTCTCTCCTAACTTTTGTGGAGAAAAAAAATTTAACTTAAAGGAAAAAGACTATTCTACCCACATTAGAAGGCTGGATAATTTTATGCTTGATTAAACCAATTATTTAAAATATAAGAGTTTGTGTAGTTGAAGGAGTCATCAGAAACAATTGATACTCATCAAAAATATAAAGACAAAGGCCATGGATACAGAAGTTCGGTACAAACCTGGAAAGATAAGTATCTCTGAAAGGTTCATCCATTCAGGAACAAAGTCCCTTAACAATACAGATTATCCACACTACTGTGATCTCTTAAGAAAAATCAACATGCCTTTTGTGAAAGGATTTGAGGACAGACATAATTATGGCAGACTTGAAAATAAGTGCAACCCTTCCTTTCTTAAGTTTCATCCTTATCCCCCTTCAGTCCTGCCAGACTATCATTTGCACTATCCCTATCCCCCGCCATATGGGCCAGATTATCCATTATTTCCACTGCGGGATGATGTGCCCTTAAGTGATTCCTGTTCAATGTTTATGAGTCCTGGTGGTGATGCTGATTTAAAGCCTGGCGTTGGCAGAACCATACCAAACCTGGTTGATTTCAGTGATGTGAAACCTCAACATCGAGTTCCTAGACCAGACACAGGATTTCAAACAACAATCAAAAGGCAAAAAATTCTATCAGAAGAACTGCAACAGGACAGGAGATGGAATTCCAGAGAAGTGTCGGACACCTCCATCAGAGCAAGGCTTGGAGGTAAATGAAGGGATGTGGATGTTACGTGTTTTAAGTACTCCATGAGGGAGAACAGGATGTATGTATTCAAGATTTTCAGGGTTAAAATGTTAACAATAAATTATTTAGAAATTAGAGATTCTAAGAAAAATTATAGCCTTTTTATAAACTTTTTTGAAAACGCGTTTTAGGTGCTTTTTTAGAAGGGCATGCGTTAGTTTGAGTGACTAACACAAACTGTACAACAGTTTGTTCTATATTTAAGGGTAACTTAATTTTATCCAAAAGGAATGTAGTTATCACTTTGATAATTAATAGCAAGCCTCTTTTTCTTCATCAGAAAATAATTTGGTGATTAATAAAGAGTTTTTTAATGATTTTTTTTTTAGTTATCTTTATTTAAAAGGCAGAATGTTGGAGAGGGAGAGGCAGAGAATATCTTCAATATGCTATTTCACTCTCCCAAATGCCCACATGGCTGGGACTGGGCCAGACCAAAAACAGGAGCCTGGAACTCCATCGGGTTCTACCATGTGAGTAGAAGGGACCCAAGTACTTGGGCAGCCCTCCTAGGCACATCAGCAGGGAGCTGGATTGGAGGCATAGTAGCCAGGATTCAAACTAGCACTCATGTACAAGATATGGGCATCCCAAGCAGTGATTTAACCTGCTGTACCACAGAGCCTAACCCAATAGTTAGGTTATAGTGTTTGAAATGAAACAGGAAAGTAGTTGAAAGTAATTTTTCTGTGTATTAAGAACAGAAGCCAAAGAGAAACAATCATTGCATAAATAGATCTACATCTTTGGAGGCAGGAAGGATAACCCCTTAGCCACGTCGGCACAAGCATTAGTTTATAACCCATTGGAAATTCTATCCAGGGAAATATGGCATTGCTGAGAATCAAATATATTTGTATCTACATATGACAAATAGCTATATATCTAGACGCTAAAGTGTACAAGTCTTGGCATTGAAGGAACTGTTGATGAGTTCATATCCGTCTCACTACATTTCACTGATTCTGACCTAATGACTTTTTCTACTTAATTAAGAAACAAGCTTGAGCTTAATATTTGCTAATATCGTGATGTAAAATGCTATTGCTAGTCAAGAATTCATTAGAGGAATGGAAATCTTTTTTTTCATTTTAGGCAAGCATGTTACTTACCTTATAGGCAAAAAACTTTAGTGTAATTTTAGGGATAAATTTGCTGGGTTTTTTTTCCATGTAAATTCTACAAATGAACTCATAAAATACTATTCCAAGGAGATATAGGTTGAATAAATGGTTTGGTAAAGCTAACATGAAGCTAAAATTAATGAACTTTGCACCCACAATTCATAGCCAAACATAAAACTCATTTGTCCAATGTATTTCACTGCTTGAATCAGTACTACAGAGGACCTCAAAAGATTGACTCTAAGTTAGACTACCTGGGCTCAAATCCTGGCAAATATATACTATATGACCCAACACTATATACTGTACTTTTTATGACTGTGTATCCTTATTTTTCAAATTCACATACTTGTAACTCATTATAATGGTAAGGACCATTTACTGTAATTCATTTAAACATATATGACATAAAGAAAGGAACCAATAAATATTCAGATTGTATAAAGGTAGACTGTATAATCTCAGTTACCTCATACCTAAATTGGGAATGATAGTAATTGACTTATACTATTGCAATAATTAAGACATTTAAAGTGCTTAGCAAAATTTCTGGAATCTGATAAAACTTTCAGTTAGTATTAGCTATCAGTTGCTATGAACAATGTCAGAGTGATATCTGCAATTTGGGAGTTGAGTTCAGTATAATTTATGCTAGGCTTTCAATAACTAAATCCTAGAAATAGACATTAATTATAAATGATATGCACTTTCAGGTTTTAGAAAACCTAAATGCACATTATTCTCAATACATTCTGATAAAGGACGCCTCAGAATTGGTTATGTGACACACCAGTATGCTTTTTTTTAAAGAGTATTTATTTGAAAGCCAGTTACAGAGAGGCAGAAAGAGTGAGAGCAAGAGCAAGAGTGAGGGGTGGAAGGGAGAGAAATCTTCCATCTGCTGGTTCACTCCCTAACTGGCTGCAATAACCAGAGCTGAGCCGATCTGAAGCCAGGAGCCAGGAGCTTCTTCCAGGCCTCCCACATGGGTGCAGGGGCCCAAGGACTTGGGCCGTCCTCTACTGCATTCCTAGGCCATAGCAGAGAGCTGAATCAGAAGTGGAGCAGCCAGGACATGAGACATGAACCAGCACCCATATGGGATGTCGGCACTGCAAACTGTGGCTTTACCCACTGTACCACAGTGCTGGCTCCAGCCAGTATGCTTTTAAGTGGACTTTCACAAATATAAAGCAAGATCATTAAAAATGATATTGCTTATTTATTCTCGTCCCATTCCAACCTTGTCTAGACTTTAAATTGGGTTCCCTACTTCCTCTTTTGTGCCTCATTGGCTTTCTTTTTCACTTGCCAATCAACTATTTTAAACTTATTCAAATTATTTTCTAACCCTTATTGGACTCTGCCTTTCATTGCAGATGACCCATTCTTCGTTGACACAAAGAAAATAGAAGTTGTCTATGGTCACCTCCTTGCTTCCTACCTTTGGCCTCCTCATATCACTATTGTAACTTTGTATATGTTCCTGTCTTTGAAAACCCTTGTTTAGTTCAGGCTACTATAGAAAAATAAGAGTGGGTAGCAGAAAGAACAGGCATTTTCTTTTCCTCACAATTCTAAAGACTAGGAAGCCAAAGATTACAAGGTATTCAGATTGGTTCCTAGTAAGGAACCCCTTCCTGACTTATAGAATGCTGCCTTCTCCTTGTGTGAAGTGGCAGAGGGAGATTGAATTTGGACTGCCTTTCAGGTTTTGTTTTTTTTGACTAGCATGAACAGGATTTGTGTTAATTCATCTTTAAATGTTTGGTAGACTTTTTTGAAGCCATGTGGTTCAGGGTTTTCCTTGTTGAAAGAACTTTTTTACTGATTGATACCCTTCCTTCATTGCAAGGCTGTTATTTCTTCATGGTTCAGTTGTGGTAGGTTATGTTTCTAGTTTTCTGTTTCCTCAAGATTATTCAGTAGGTTGATACATAGTTGTTCAAAGTTTCTTATAATTATTTTATATCTGTAAACAGTTTTAATGACCCCCTTTCAATTGTAGTGTTAGTTATTTGAGACTTTTTTCTTAGTCAATTCTGTTTATCTTTAAAAAAAAAAACACATCTTGGTTGCAATGATTTTTCACTATTTTTTTCTTTTTCTATTTTTACATATAACTTAGTCTTTATTATTTCTTTCCTTTTGCCAACTTTGAGGTTAGTTCTTTTTCTATCTCTTTGAAGTATTAAGTTAGGTTGTTTATATGAAATCTTTCCTTTTAAATGTAGATGTTTATCACTTTGAACCTACTTCTTAGTTCTGCTTTTGCTGCATCCCTGGGATTTAGGTATGCTGTGTTTTCATTTTTGTTTATCTTGTGTTTCTGATTTTCTTCTTGATTTTTCATTCAATAAAAAGTATTTTTGTGTAGTTTCCATATATTTGTGAATTTTCTTATTTTTCTTATGTGGATTTCTAGTTCTATTCCATTTTGGTCAAGAATAAAACAGTTGGCATGAGTTCAGTCTTCTTAAATTTTAAGATTTTTATTGTGACCTATCATGTGATTTATCAATCTGTGTATCCTTGATAAGAATGCTTCTATTGGGTGGAATGTTCTGTACACATCTATTAGGTCCATTTGATCTATATGTTACTCAAGATCTCTGCTTCATTATTAGTCTTTATCTAGTTGTTCTAAAGTCAGATATTGAAATATCCTATTATTATTGTATTTCTGTCTCTTCCCTATGTTTTAATTGTCTGAATCTCAGAATATTTATGACAGTTATTTTGAATTCACTGTCAGGTAAATCATAAAATTCCATTTAATTATGGTCAGTTTCTGAAGATTTATCTTCTTCTTTTGTTTGTAGAATCATTGCCTAAAACTTCATTGTACTTGACTCACTGTGTAGGTGTTTGTGCATTAGAGAAACCAGGCACCTATTCCAGTCTTCATGAGCTGGCCTTATAAGGGAAAAGACCTCCATCTATCAGCCTAGTTAGGTTCTAAAGACCTCTACCAACTCTTTCCATCCCCAAAGAAACCTAAGAGCTGGGATTTTTGCCCATTTGCCTGTGCTGATCAGTGGGAAAGCTTTGGTGTCTTAACAGTCTAAACTGCCATCTCTATTCTCTCCCAAGCAACTAGACTATACTAGATCCATCAAGATTTTCTAGACTAGTGAGACAAGTGCTAGTTCTTTGTACAACCCCAGAGAAGTTTTGGTTCTGAATCTTTTTATGATCTGTGACATCTAGATCAATGACCCTATAGATCTAGGTCATTTACTAGCCCAAATAACCATCTCTGTCCTTCCCCGGGTGGCTAAACTGTGGAAGACCCATCAGTGCTCTAGGAATGATGATACAGGTGCTGCCTCTTTGGGCAAACCCCAACTTTTTCACTTCTCAGAGGGAAGCTAGAGAAACTGAGTTTTTCATTTGCTCACTGTGTGTTGAATATATAGGGATGGGGATAGATGTCATTTGCCAGCCAAGCTACCATCTCTTTTCTTCTGGGTTGCTAGATTGTGCTGGGTTCATCAGAGCTCCAGGGTTGATGAAACAGAAACCAGCCCTGTGGGGAAATCCCTATTGTGAAATATTTGGTACTGGACAAATGAACCAAAAACCGTTCCTCCTCTGCATGAATCTGGGAGCTCAAGAGTCTTTTCTGTGATTGTACTGCACAAGACAGGGACTTTGTGAGTGAGTGTCCTGAATCAGGGTGGGGTTGAGGGGAGAGAGTCCAGAGCTTCCTCTTCTGTCGTCTTGATAATATCACTCCCCATAAGTGTGTTAGGTTTTTCATTTGTCTCAAGATAATTTCTAATTTCACTTGTGATTATTTTTCTTTGATTCATTGGTGGTTTAGTGGTATAGTATTTAATATCCATGTATGTATTTTTCAGATTTCTGTTGTTAAAATACTCAAGATTGAGAGTTTTATAAATAAAATAGCTTTATTTAGCTTACAGTTTTAGAGGCAGAAAGTCCAAATTTGAGAAGCCTCATCTGTTAGGTAATTTGTATGCAACATATCATTAAAGATAGCATCATGGCAAGAGTATGTGAGAGAAAGAGAGTTTATGTGGTGAAATGGGAACCCAGTGAGTGGGGTGGGCCCTGTTGTTCTTTATAAAAATGCACTTCTAGTGCGAATAAGTGGGGCCCCTCAAGAACTATTGAATCTCTTCCTAGGGAGTTTCCCCTAAAGACCTTCAGTAGGCTTCGCTTCCTTACAGTTCCATGCCTCTGCAGATCACTGTAGTGCAGGCCATCCTTCCAATACGCGAACCTCTGGCGGACAAACCATATCCAAGCCATAGCAATATACTTATTAATTTTAAAAGTTTTCCTTATTTTATTGATTGCTTATTTGGACTAGAAACACAAATTGTATGATTTCAGTTCTTGAAAATTTATAAAGATTTGTTTTTTAACTTAACATATGGTCTATTCTAGAGAATGTTCCCCCATATACTTGAGAAAAATGTATATTCCTTGGGGAGGACATTTGGTGTAGAAATTAAGATGCTACTTGGAACACCCACGTCCCATATCAGAATGCCAGGTTCAAGTCCCAGCTCTTCTGATTCCACCTTCCTGTTAATGCATGCCCGGAGAGGCGGCAAATGATAGCCCAAGTCCTTAGGTTCCTGCCACCCATGTTGGAGACCAGGCTCCAGATTTCAGCTTGACCCAGACCAGATGTTGTGAGTTTTTGGAGAAGGAACAAGCAGATGGAATCAGTTTCTCCCTCTCTCTCTGTTCCCCACAAGACTACCCCATGTGTGTATGTGTTGTGTGTGTGTGTGTGTGTGTCTGTGTGTGTGTTTCTGTATTCAAATAAAAATACTGTTTAAAAAGATTGTGTATTCCACTATTGAATGAATTTTTCTATTCAAATTACAGTGTTACTCAATTCTTCTATTTTATTGATCTTTGGTTATTCTATCCATTATTGAAATTGGGATTTTATTTAGATCTACCAATGCTGAAATCATGGATCATCTTAGCCCTCATCTAGGGGAAATCAAATTCCAATCTCATTCAGATGACCACATCAGAAGTGGCTGTTTCCTTGTTCACTGTTAGGGGCCTCTCCTCCCAAGAGGATATATATGGCCTCCTCTATCTTCAAAGCCTACAGTGGCACAGCAAGGCCTTCTAATACTCTAGTCTTTCTAACGCCCCTCCCAAATCCACAGACCACCCAGCACCCAATTGTTCCCTACCTCTCCCTTACCAGTCCCTTTGTTGGTTCTGCTCTGAATTTCTTGGCCAAATATTGACTGAATCAGAGAAGGCACTGTGGCATCAGGACACTCTCATCCCATATGAGAGTGCCCAGTTCAAATGCTGGCTACTCTGCACTTACTATTCAGCTTCCTGCTAATGCATACCCTTGCAGACAGCAGATGATGGCCCAACTGCTTGATTTCCTGCTACCCACTTGAGAGACCTAGATGGAGTTTCCTAGCCATAGCTGTTGTGGGCCTTTGGAGAGTGACCCAGCATACGGGAATGCACTTGCTTGCTCTCTGTCTCCTTCTCTGTCATTCTGCCTTTAAAATAAATTATATATATAACATGTATACTATGTATATATAATATTATATATAATTTATATGTATGCATATACAAGAGTCATGAAAACATTGCATTGAAACTATGAAACTACAAACGCTAAAAATATTACAACTACTAATTGTTAATAAACCTGTTGAGCATGTAAATTGTTTGCCAGAAATTTTGCCCCTTCCTTGTTAACTGTTAATTGTAAGAAATCAGGGCCGGCGCCACGGCTCACTAGGCTAATCCTCCACCTTGCGGCGCCGGCACACCGGGTTCTAGTCCCGGTCGGGGCGCCGGATTCTGTCCCGGTTGCCCCTCTTCCAGGCCAGCTCTCTGCTGTGGCCAGGGAGTGCAGTGGAGGATGGCCCAAGTGCTTGGGCCCTGCACCCCATGGGAGACCAGGAGAAGTACCTGGCTCCTGCCATCGGATTAGCGCGGTGCGCTGGCCGCAGCGCGCTGGCCGTGGCGGCCATTGGAGGGTGAACCAACGGCAAAGGAAGACCTTTCTCTCGGTCTCTCTCTCTCTCACTGTCCACTCTGCCTGTCAAAAAAAAAAAAAATTTCAAACCTGTAAACAAGGGTGTATATAGAGCCCACTAGAGTGGGCTCCAGGAGGACAAAAGCTTGTGCTGTCCCCAGAGTCTCTGATGAGTCATCACTCTTGTGCTTCAGCATCTCTGTGCTATCCACCTAGCTTCTAATTGCAACTTTCAAATTCACATTTTGCCAAGTTTTATTAATTTATAGAGTAAACTACAGAGTAGAGGATCAAATTAGAAATATCCATTGTGTAGGAGAACAGATCTCTTAAGCTACTAGAAATACTACAATCATCTTCACATATGCCTGTCACTTCTCCAAACCAGAGTAATTTGTGTTGTTATCAGTCTCTATGATTAAAACTGTCCAAAGGCAATCTATCTGTAAGTTAAGTCCAAGGCCTTCATGTCCTCACCCTGTCTTGTCCCTCTTGTTCATCTTCCACTGTTCCCTGTCTGCCATTTCATGATCTACAGCTAATATTTTATAGTTTTCATCCACATTGTGATGCTCTCACAGGGAGGCCTACCATTGCCCATGCTATTTGCTTGCCTTGAATGAATAGCCTTCCTCATGTCCTCTTTGTGCAAGTTCTACTCAGTTTCCAAGACTGGATCAGGTGTCATCTTCAGGAAGATGTCTCTGGCTCCTGACAATCTGGTTAGATGAGATATCCTCTGATACACCCCACAACACTCTGAGCTCAACTATTCTTACAGTTGTTGCATTATATAGAAATTATCTACTCATGGGCCTGTACTTTCTGTTTGCACAAGGGCACCTCAAAACCAGGAACCCTGTTTCTCATATTTATATGAGAAATATATAAGCAGTAAATACTTACCCTGTAAATAAAAGGCTGCCTTTATATTTGTTAGTCTTTTAGGACTTCTTATCTATCATTGGATGAATCATCTGCATGGTTAAGCAGACTTGCTTTTCATCATCACCGCCCCCAGCTACATGCACATTCACAGATTCATAGTACCCAACAGGTCTTTTCCAATAATAGGAAATAATTCTGCACTATTAGAATTATACTAATGTAAAGTCCAGAGCTATCCTCTTCTCATTCTGAGAGATCCAGAGAAGTTTTTAGAAAATACATTAAATAAAGAACTTACCGCACAGAGGAGCTTTCTACTGGGGCTACTTCTGGGTGAAGAAGGAATTTCTGTGCCATGTGTTTAACCCAGCGCACGTGCACTTTTTGTTTTCAGGTTGGACGAGCCCAGTGAAAGTTACTCCTTTGCAACCACATCATGAAGGCTGTTCAGTAAACCACGCATACTCATTTGATGAGGAGGCAGAGTACACAGTAAGATTTTCATACTGGGTAGTGTTTCACAAAAGTTATAATTAGGTTATTTCATTGTGTATTCAATATTTTATTTTCTTGGAAAAAAGTTACTGTTTGTAAAATGCTTCTTGTGATCCAGGTACTGTACAGATGTTGCAGCCCCTGCATCTCGTGCTGGCCCTACAGCTGCACAGAGCGGAGAGGGATGTAGAAGCTGGTGGTTCCCAACCCAGTTGCTTTACTGGCAGGTGTCCCTGCCCACAGAAGCCACCAGCCTGCAGGACTGCACTCCCCCACACTGCCTGCACACTGCCTGATGACTGGCTGACTTCCTGAGGAAGCAGACTAAAGCTGGACTCCAGCTGGAACTACGGGCTCACTAGGTTCTCTTCCTTATGCTGCTCGCTTTCCCCACTCCCCTTCACCTGCGGACATCCCCACAACATGGCACTGGAACAACACTCCTGTCACGGTCTCTGCTTCTAAACAGGACACTATCATGACTCCCATGTTACTTGAGAAAGGTGAAGCCCAGTGATGTTAAGTAACTCACTTTAAGATCATACAGGTAGTAAACTTCAAAAACTAAAAGCTAGATATTTTCCAAATTTAAGGATTATATGTTTAAATAATTTTCCTATATGGATTTCATAATCTCTAAACCATTGATATTTAAATTAGGATACTTGAACAGAGATACATAGATATGAAAAGACTTTTTTTAAAAAGTTTATTGAGATATATTTTACATACCAGATACAACTATTTGATATATGTAAATCATTGTTTTTTTTTCAAAGATTTATTTATTTTACTTGAAAGAGGAAGAAAAGCAGAGAGAGAGAGAGAGAGAGAGGTCCTCCATCTGCTGATTCACTCGCCAATTGGCCCCAACAGCCGGAGCTGCACCAATCCAAAGCCAGGAACCAGGAGGTTCTTGGGCATCTCCCACGTGGGTGCAGGGGCCCAAGGACTTGAGCCATCCTCTGCTACTTTCCCAGGCCATAGCAGAGAGCTGGATTGGGAGCAGAGCAGCCGGGTCTTGAACTGGCACCCATATAGGATGCAGGCACTGCAGGTGGTGGGTTTACCCACTACACCACAGCGCCGGCCCCGCAACTCACTGGTTTTTTTTTGTTTTTTTTTTTTGTTTTTTTGTTTTTTAAGATATGTACGGAGTTATGTGACCACAACCACACTGTAATTGTAGAACATTTTCACCACTCCAGAAACACGGGATCTACTATCAGTGAAGACATAAGTACATCTTAAGGAAGTAGTTTGTTTTTCTGACTCCTGTCTGTACTGTTTTCAACTCTGATCTGCTTGATAGTATACCTGCAGTTAGTGTCACCATCTTCTTTTCACTTTTCCCATCACAAAAAATCTTTGTAATTTTGCCAGGAAGGGGGTGAGGCATACCTCCCACACATCAAGAGTTGTACTCTGGTATAGTGCATTGAAACAAAGAGCATGCTCAGACACCTACACCCATGGTGGGTCTTCAAATTCTTCCTTGTCCTATGCCTTTTTCTTTTTTTCTTTTTAAACATTTATTCATTTATTTGAAAGAGTTACACAGAGAGAAAAGGAGAGGGAGAGAGAGACGGAGAGAGAGAGAGAAAGAGAGAGAGAGAGAAAGAGAGAGAGAGAAGTCCTCCATCTGCTCGTTCACTCCCTAACTGGCCACAACAGCCAGAGCTGTGCCGATCCAAAGCCAGAAGCCAGGAGCTTCTTTGGGGTCTCTCACACATCTACAGGGGCCCAAGGACTTGGGCCATCTTCTTCTTCCTTCCCAGGCCACAGCAGAGAGCTGTATGGGAAGTGGAGCAGCTAGGGCTCAAACTGGTCCCCACAGGGGATGCTGGCACTGCAGGCGTTGGCCTTACCCACTGTGCTACAGCGCCGGCCCGCCTTTTTCTTTTAAAAGGAAATAGTGGCATTATGGATGGGGTAATTTGGCCTGACTTGGGAAGGTGATGAAGGTGATTGCCAGTGCAATAAAGGTCTAAGTTTTCAGTTTTACTTGTTCATTCCCTAAACTGATAAAGAATCCATTGCTCCTGTAGGTAAGTCTTGTGAGGACAATATTATTATTTGCAATTAAAATAAAATAGAGTAAATTGAAGACATTGGTACCTTTTTAAAATTTAAACTGCAGATTCATGGCAGAGTTCCCTGCTCTGAGTGTTTAGAGTTGAAATTCTGAAGTAGATGCTTGTCATGGGAATAATCCTAATTAGCATATTTATTTGAATTTAAACTCAGGCTTTTTGTGACAGAAATAAACCTGGATATTATACTCCCAATAGTGGAAGCTCAGTAACATGGACTGATACTTCCAGTGGTAGAACAACTGGATAATTTTTTCTTAAAATATCAAAAATATAATAAGGTGTAAAGACAAATTATTGGAACAACAGAAAGACAAAATGCTAGAATTTAAGTCTAGCATGTAGGGAGCACTTTGACCTTGCAGGAATTTACTGTTTTGGAAGAGGCAACTGGGAATTTGAGTTGGACTTTTGGTAATTTCATAAAGGTAGAGATCAAAAGTTGAAGTAGATGTATGAAAACCACCCACTATTTTTTTAAAACATTTATTTATTTATGTTAAAGTCAGAGTTACACAGAGAGAAAAGAGAGAGAGAGAGTTACACAGAGGCAGAGAGAGAGAGAGAGAGAGAGGCCTTCCATCTGCTGGTTCACTCCCTAACTGGCTGCAACAGCTGGAGCTGCGCCGATCTGAAGTCAGGAGCCAGGAGCTTCTTCCGGGTGTCCCACATGGGTGCAGGGGTCCATGGACTTGGGCCATCTTCTGCTTTCCCAGGCCATAGCAGAGAGCTGGATCGAAAGTGAAACATCCAGGACTTGAACTGGTGCCCATATAGGATGCCAGCACTGCAGGTGGTGGCTTTACCCGCTATGCCATAGTGCCAGCCCCCACTCACTACTTTTGGATAAATATCTGGAAGTCTGCACCCCAATAGGTCAGTGGTAAAAAGCCCTTGGAGAGCCTTCAGTTTGAGCTTATCAAAGTAAATGAGAAAACTTGAAGCACTGAACTGGGATTAAGGTGATCCTAGATTGCTGTCATTCCCAGGAAACAGGCAAATAAAATAAAATTCTTTTTTGGAGAAAAATTATATCTTACTAAACCACAAAGTATTTCCCTGAAAAACTTTTAAAATATAATGTTCAACACACAATCAACAATATCCAAACACATAAGGAGAAAGTTCAGCAGAAGTGGAAATCAGCAGAAATGAGAAAAAAGAAAAAGTGCACATTTATTTTAAACCTTAGAAATATGCATAACTGTTCAAGAGGAAAAAGATGATTGGGTTTGTGGATTATATATACATGAATTGTGACAATGCTGCATCTTAAAATTTAAGTAAAAACTGGCTGTGGACAAGAAAAACTTCCTGAGGTAACATGTCCACAAGGTGGGACATGCGGAATCTCGCAGAGCAAAGGAATCATTTTTGATGAAATTGCAGACAACCGGGGGCCAGCGCCGTGGCTCACTAGGTTAATCCTCCACCGGCAGTGCCAGCATCCCATATGGGCGCCAGGTTCTAGTCCCGGTTGCTTCTCTTCCAGTCCAGCTCTCTGCTGTGCCCTGGGAGGGTAGTGGAGGATGGCCCAAGTGCTTGGGCCCTGCACCCGCATGGGAGACAAGGAGGAGGCTCCTGGCTCCTGCTTTGGATCGGTGCAGTGCCGGCTGTACCGGCCATTTTGGGGAGTGAACCAACGGAAGGAAGACCTGTCTCTCTGTCTCTCTTTCTCACTGTCTATAACTCTACCTGTCAAATAAATAAATAAAATAGCAGACAACCAATAATCCACAAGTAGAAACTGTCAAAACTGACCAGCGGATGAAGTAAAAAGGAGTAGCACATACAACATCTCTAATAGCACAGCAATCTAAAACATACATCATTGTTCAAAGAGATAAAGAAACTGAATGTCTAAGTAAAGCAAAATTTGAGGAAAAGAACAGGAGCCAAATGTGATTTGACACATGAAAATATTTATTGTAAAAAGTTGTTAAAAATGTTTGTTCCTCAAAAAGACCCAATGAGTTCCTAAAAGATTTTTTTTTTTTAATTTATTTGAGAGAATCCAGGGTTCCTGTGATAGAAAGTTCACAAAGTGAGTATACACTCCAAATTATTCAACATAAATAGGCAAAGGAAAATGTGACACATTCTCAATGTAAGAGACAATCTAGATGCTAAAATTATCAGGGGTTTTCATGTAGCAACTGTAACAGTGATCAATGAAATAATGAAAGATACAAATGCCAGAAGAGTAGATATGTCAGCATAGAAATAGAATGCATAAAAAGTAACCAAATGGATACTTTTAAGCCCAAATGACTCACATTTTCACATGGAAATTATATTAACTTAATAGCAAGATGGATACAACTAAAAAGAGTACCAAGTATTTGAAGACAGATGTAGACCTTATTTGGAGAGGGGGAAAGGAATAAAACATGAATGCAGATTCAAGATGACTCAATAGTGAGAATCTGCACTGACCTCAGCTGCAAAAGAACAGAAAAACAAAGGTAGGACCACATTCTCAGGGGACTGAGTGAGAGAAATTTTCAGTGGAGAAGTGACAGAACAGAGCAAAGACTCCACAGGACAGGAAGGAAACGGGACAGACAAACCCCAGTGGCTGGCCATGCCACCTGCCACTCTTGCGTACACAGCTGCCAGATGGGAAACACCATCTTGCCAAGATGGGGCAGGAAGAAGTTGCCCCAGCACCTCACCACTGGCAGCTTTAACTGAGGGAGAATTACACAGCCTCCACTGAGTTCAAGTCCAGCCTGCAGGGCTGCCTGGGTCTGAGCAGTGACTTCGCTCCAAAGAGAAGCCGCATTGCCTCCCTCCCTTCTTCTATCCCACCCCACCACAGATGCCAAACTCAGTTTACTGTGAGAGGAGAGTCACAGCTGAACTCTGTTCTCACTCAGCAGACAGCAAGCGATCCTCCTGCTA